CCCGAGCTTGCCAGCCTGCGGTTGAGGCGCGACCCCCTGCGGGCTGTGACCGGAGCCCGGAGCCCAGGCCCGGCTCAGCGGTCCTGGCTAGCCCTGGCCAGTCAGGTTCTCTCTGTTGTACTCAGGCAGCTGCTCTTGGGTGCTTGCGAGTTCAAAACACGCCTTCCCATTAATTAAAAGCTGGACAGCCTTGTCACTTTCTTTCCAGGCCGAAGCAGCACCTCTAGAAGTCCCTGCAGCACTCTTTGCCCGGGCCTGCTTGCGCGGGAGGCTTTGGAGGTCGAGCGGCCATTTACTGCCCTCTGATTGCGCCGAGGACCAGGTTAGCTCATAAAGCCTTTCACACTCAACAATGGGGATTTTCTCAACAATTAACAAGAAACAACATAATAAAGCCATTTACAAAGACCTTGCTATTTACTATAAATTAGGCACTCTTTAAGAGACCAGTGCGTAATTTCACACACTTTACAACTGGGGCTGCATTTTAAACACCCGAGAAAACAAGCTTGTTGCACTTCCCTGTGACCTATGCTGCGGTGCACCTCTGTTTCCCCTCTTTCCCAGTAGCAGCTTTGTTTGCATTGCTGCACTCCAACCTCCCAGCCGAGGGTGGTTTTCCAGGTCACTGTCTCACGTTTCCCGTTTCCAGGTCATCATTCCACTTGCAGACGCACTGAAAGAAGTTCCAAGGGACAGGAACCACGGAGCCAAAGCAAGCAAGCCTTGCCCCAGGTTACTCCCACTCACGGAGTTACTAGGGGGCCTGGCTAACGTGCCCGCTCCCTCCCGACTCGCTAGGCCTCTGCTCCTGAGCTACTTCCCTGGAGGAGATCGCAGCCATGCTGGCCCAGTCCTTTTGCCACTCGCCTCCCACAAGCGCATTTTGGAGGCCTTAGAGTCCTCTGAGCAATGAAAAGAGCTGGGTTCCTTGTACCTGGGGAGTAGGGATAAGACCTGGGCAAGAAGGTGAGAGGTACTGGGCGGCAAGCGCAGGAATGGGCACACAAAAGAAGTGCAAAGTGAGGAGAAGCATTCCAGTCTCTGGTGGGGAGGAGGCCCAAGGCGGCTGAGGCACCCTCTGCTCTCGGCCTTCTGGCCGCTTGGACTGGAGGCTGCGCAGGACGAGCTGGGGTGCAGGCTCTTCTGCCTGGAGGAGCGAAATCATCTCACGTTCAAGGAAAGCAAGATCTGGGCGGGGGAAAAAGTCACAAAGAAATGTGTTTGCCACCATGCAAAATGGCGGCACTTAAACATCTTTCTGGTGACTATGGTGGCCCTGGTCAGAGAATCCACAGCTGCCCTGGGACAGTGCAGTTCCCAGAGTTCCGTGGCTGGGGAAAGCAACCCTTGGAACCCCCTCAGCCCTTTGCCTGCAGCCCTTGGCCGGCTCCATAGTCCCTGGCCTTCCCTCCCAGGCTGCTAGGCCCGAAGCCCGCGCCAGCAGCCCCTGGCCACTGACCCCTGTTTACAAACACAGCCTGGGGGCGGGGTGGGGCCAGCCAGAGCGCGGGCTGGAGGGCTGGGGGGGCAGAGGGGGGGGGAGGCCGCGCGCTGCCGAGGACGCCACCAGCAGAGAGGAACCAGGAGTTGGTGCGAGAGAGCGGGCCCGGCAGCTGGAAAGGACTGAACGCCTTGTTTTTGAAACTGTCAATTCCCTCAACCCCTATTGTGAGGGCTTCATGCAAAACATCTCAGGCCTTTTAAAGTAGGAGCTTGTGAGGCCGCCACAGTTTGAAAAGGAGCGAGAGTAGCGGGGGCCTAGGGCATGGGCAAAGACTGATAGCTGCCCCCTTCCTCTTCTGCGTATTTTAAAGCAAAAGAGGGCCTGCCAAACAGGTAAAATGCAGCCCTCCCCCACCTCCTGGATCTGCCCTACGTACCCAGCCCCCAGGCTGGTTTGCAGGGTGCCCTTTGGCCTAGGGAGCAAACCATAACCAAAGCCAGAGGGAAAGTAGTTGTTCCTCTCAGGGAAGGGAGAATCCTAGGGGTGACAGGGAGGGCTCGCGAAGGTAGATGCCCTGTTTCTCCTGGCCAATTTCCTGAGTTTATCTCATAGGAGCCTTGATTTTTTTTTTTTAATTCCTCTTTTGACCCTGGGAAATCCCTCCCTCACATATCCTTTTCAGCAGGAAGATGTTTCAAGGTGAAGCAAAACCCACATTTTCTTTCTTTTATAGATGCTGATGTTTTATTGTTTTTAAGAAAAATTTCACCGTGGAGTATTTTTGTTTCCTTTGAAAGAAAAAAAAAATGCTTTTGAGGAATGAGTTGCCCCTACATCAGATCTTCCTGCATGCAAATGAACTGCCTGTCTCATATCAGCAGGAATTTCCAGCCCAGTTCTTTTTGGCTAAGAACTTTGAGCAATCTCTAGACCACTGAAAGTCACCCAGACACAAATAAGATTTAAAAAAAAAATCCACACACCAGCCCATCTACTTTGTGTTATTGCTGTTTAGAGGTGGCTCCTTGTTGGTTTTCAAATAAACAACCATTATTGAGATTACTCCACTGTAATCAAGTAAGGCAATAGAAAGGAACACCCACTCTAAAAAGTAAATACTTGGGTGGGGGAGCTGCAATTTCTAAAAAGGCAGATAACCTGACTTGGGAAAAAAAGTACACACATCTTTTTATAAAATAAGTAAATCTTCACAGTCTTATCAAGATATTACGTTTATAGAAGACCAGAAATAAGTTTGCTTCAACAAAGTCAGCAAAAGCAGCTTTTCCTCCACTTTCCCCATGTCTGTTTAGCTAATTTAGGCACAGGAATCAGTGGCCCTGGAACCTTGAATCAGTTAAAAGAGCAAATCTATTCCCTGAAAACATTTAAATGTAGAAATACAACCTGTCAATGGAGGTAACTTTTGTTTTCCTCTCAATAAGGCTTAACTTTTGAACAAATGTGACATTTATAGCAGCTGAGAAAGACCTAGAAATTGTCTTTAATCATAAAACGACCCAAATAAAATAAACTGTGCTGGGAGTAATTCCCACAGCAGGATGAGAAACCAACTGAGGGCTGCTAGGGACTGAAAGAGTCCCTTCTATTTGCACACTAAGATTTAGTATTTGGTACAGAAGCCCCAGCTCAGAGCTTGCTGTGGTTGGATGGCCCATAGGAACACTGTGGGGGAATATCTGTGTTGACTACCTATTGTCTTTCCTGTGGATGGTCTCACTCTGGCATGCCTCAGCCTCCTTCCTTGCTCATTACACAGCTCCTAGAAGCTGAAAATATTGATTCTCTGAGGATTGGAGACCAAGTTGGAGACTGATATTTTGTCCAAAATTCTATGGGATATTTGTTTAAATTTGTGCGTATTCCATCTTACAGTGGTCCCACACTCAAGATCAGTAAACTTCAAATATTTTCTCAGTTTATAACTTGGGGACAGTCTGTAGCCAACATAGAAAGTCTCAGTCTAAATGCAGTAGTCGCTGTACTTGAACTTTCTTGTCTTGGCACTAATTAAAGAGTAAAAATTACAGACTTCCCTACTGTGCTGTCATACTTTTTACAGACTGGTTTTTTTTTTCTTTTTTAGGACAGCTCACTGTCCCTAAATTCTTCATTGCCTTCCAAAGGAGAAAGGATTCAGGCTCAGAAACCAGTTGTTCACCTCTCTGGGACTTTTAACTGAGAACATGGACTAGTCTTTGGAATTATATACAAACATGAGTTCAAGGATAACATTCCCCAATTTTTGCTTTGACCATATCTATGATCCCAATAAAAATGACCCAGTGAGCCTACATCTGGCAACATTCAAGAAGGGGGGGAGGCAGTCCAAAGGACCTTTTCACTCCATCCAAATGTATCTGGATGCAGGTACTCTCAGCCTCTGACTTTATAGCAGGCCAAGCCACAGATCACACACAGCAATTAGGCCCGAGACCATCCAGAGCTATCTGAAACATTATAGACAAAAGGAAACTTTCAAAAGGAGTAGAAAGTAAAAGGTTAAGCAAAATAAATAGCTGAATTTCCATGAGAAGTAATGGTTTAAATTCACACAGTAAACATTTCATTGGTGTTTTGTTTTGCTCTGTGATTTATGGACTATAGATGCAACTTCTTAAAGATACCAAGGATCTGAAATACATAATTTGGTGGCCCAAGAATTACTGGATTCAACTTTCATTAAAATAACAACTAATCTTTGCTTTACCTTCTTAAATATGAAACTTGTAGTACTTTGGAAAGTTTTTTCCTGTTATTTGAGAAGGAATCTGCCAGTGTTATTCAGGGAACCTAGTTGGTCTCATCACAAAGAATTGCCACAAAACACTGCACCAGTGAGTGCATCTCTTCCAGGCAAAAACATTACAAGTGAAAATGTCAACAAAACCATTCATTCTTGTTAACCCTTCTTCAATCTGGAATAAGTAGAAATGTATGGAACCAGGAATTTTAAAGAGTGTTTTTAATTGAAAATAAAGCTAAAGCATGCTTTTCAACAGTGCAAATTTCCATAATTTTGATTTACTGCTCTCATCATTACAACACAGTACCCCAGCATGGCCCTTACCAAGGGCTAGACCATTTGCATGTGGAATTCCTTTGATTTTAAGTGCAAATATAGATAGTCACCTCTGATTGTCACTTGCAGTAGAAACTCTCCTGTTCTATACACAGGATGGCCTGAAAACAGAAGTTTAGAGAGACGCAGAAAAAAACGCATAAGGTAATAAAATCCAAGTGCCTGAGTTCTGGTACCAAAAAGCCCTGAAATAACTGTTATTTTTCACTTGGGGTGTTACGACTCTGACCCCTCTTTTTTTCTTTTGCTTGGTTGTACTTAATGAATGGTCACTATGATGAGCGAGACCATTAAATATCCTGCTATTACGAGAAATGTTTTAATTGTTTTGAAAGCTTGAAGAGTCATCTTTAGACCACAAGATAAGCAGGATTGCAGTAAGAGTCATCCTGTTTTAAATGTTTCTGTGAGAGCATGAAAGGACTTTTCCAATTACAAAGAGTGACTGTAAAGTTTTTTTTTTTTTTAAAAAAAAGCACATCTTCAAAAACAAAAACAATCCCATATTTCTCTTACTTCTTACACAAGAGGCAGCTTTTAAATCAGCATCCAATCAGGGCTCATACCCTAATCTTTCCATTAAAAAAAAAAGTTAAGTGCAACTACTCTTGGAAAGGGAATAAGGGTAGTTTTTAAAAAAAGACACCCCACACATAAGAGCTCCAGAAAATGACATTTTGGGCTCACAGAAACTTCTTGCTACCTCATTGTGTAACCATGTAACCTAACAAACTTTCACTGAATACCAGTTACACTTGCAGGTCTGAAATCTAGTGCATAAACTTAATGGCTCATTGTAATATTTATTATTCAACCTTTTGACATTTATTTGTAGCAGTTGAATTGAGGTACCGGTGCATTATTAGCATTGAAACAGTAAAGTGTTCCAGCTCTGTCGTAATAACTGAGTTTTACTTGAGTCTTTAGCCTGAAGTAGTCTGTGGTATGTAAACCAACCCTTCTCCCACCCCGCCCCCACCCTACTAAAAAAAAAAAAAACCCGCAATGGGAAAAAAAAAGTAATCCGATTTCTGTCTTCAAAATGCGATAAACCAGGACTCCAAAGGGGGTGTAACACCATTAATGGACTTGTACAAGCCATCCTGTGCAGTTTACAACAAAAGGAAGGTAATATGGTTCAAGAAAATATCTTCCCAAACATTTTATGAATGAAATTTCCTGAATTTGTGACTAGGTGGAAGAGGTACTGCAGAACCGCCCAGCTGCCATTTCCAGACAGGATGGGCCTTGTGAGGAGGTTGCGAATCCTTGGTGGTGCTTAAGGAATACGCTGGCCACAAATCCCCATCCTTCCCAACAATGAGTGATGGTGGACAAGGAAAATTTGCCATGAAATTAAATGGCCTTTTCACTGCTGATGCTACATTGCTGGCTACCTTTTTGCGTCTGTTTAAAACTGTAAAGTCATCCAGTGTTCCTTCATGTGTCTCAGTTTTACCTGTAGGACGAGGGCTTCTAGCGGATTTCAAATTTGGTTTGACTGGAGGTGTCTGAAGGACTGGTCGTTTACCCAGTACTAGTGTCCGGTAATTTTTTCTCACCCTGGCACCAAATTTATATTCCCCATCCTCAGGTTTTGGAGATCCTAAAGTGCATGAAAGGCCCTGACTGTGAGCCAGTGGGTTTAAGGAAGGAGTTTCTTTCTCAGGGCATGCAAAAGCTTCCTTGGCTGTGGTTAGGAAGGCGTCCTCCTCTGTCTTCCCAGTCATACTGTAAAGCTCCCCCTTTGTATCATTGCACTCGCACTTCAGCTTGCTTGTAATGAGATCAGGTTCATAGTCTTCATTAGCACTACTGTCTTCTACTTTGATTTTAATATTGTGCAGAAATGGCAATGTCTTGTCGCCCGTGTCAGTGCAGAGCTTCTCAGCTTTAGTTGCTGCTGCTGTTGCTGCTGCTGCATCCACTTCGGGATCAGTTTGCGAAGAGACCAAATTCATAGCAAATTCAAGACAATGAGGGATTTTGGACTCTTTTCCTGAATTTGTTGCTGTTCCACAAGAATCATTATTTAAGAACCTAGCAGCTATTGTGTTGTTATCTGAACAGTGTGTAGTAGGAGTTGCTTGTAGGCATTTCCTAGCCTCTCGCAGTATTCTTTGTTGTGGAAATACATTGTTTGTCTTTGGGCTAGGTGAAGAGGCCCCCTCTGCCAGGCAGTTAATTGTCAGGTCAGTTCTCTTTACAGTACTGGAAATTTCAGAGTGTGGGAATGTAATCTCAGACACCCTATCGTTTCTTATCTCTGGGAAACAACTCCCCATGCTGGCCGGGCAGTACACCGGAGCCCCTTTGGGAGCCCAACCCTGCAGATTCCACTCCTCCGGCGACTCGGCTTTGACACCACTCTTGAGGTCGGGAAGTCGGCCCGCATCCTCGAAAGCAGCGGGTTTGGTTGCAGCAGCGGCGGAGGCCAGATGGTACAAGAAGTTGGCCTGCGCCTGCACGCTGGGAGGCTTGCAGAAGCTGGTGCGCCTGAAACGGATGCTCTGAACTGACACTTGGCTGGAGCCGGAGCTGGAGTCTGACTCGGTGGACGAGTCCTCCTCCTCGGAGCTGATTTCACTGGAATCCGAGGCCCCGCTGCCCCCCTCTTCCTCCTCCTCTTCCTCCTCCTCCTCTCCTTCCTCCTCCTCTTCCTCTGAGGACATCGAGTTGCTGGAGCTAGACAAACTGGAGCCAAAATCCGAATCGTTGGCTGCATGGTCGGAGTAGGAGCTGGACTCGGAGTCGCTGCTACAACTCTCGGGAAAGCTTCCTAGATGGGGCTGCGGTCGGTGGTGGTGAGGGGGGTGGTGACTCGGCGTTGGCTGCTGGGCCCGATGATGGTGATGATGGTGATGGTGGTGGTGGTGGTGGGGGGGAGGCGGGCAGAAGCTGTTGACCAGATGAAACCTCTCCAAGCAAGTGGCCCCGGCGGCCGCCGCCGCCGCCGCCGCTGCAGCAGCCGCCGCCGCCGCCTTGGCTTTGTAGGACCTGGGCAGCAGCAGCAGTCTCCGGGCTCCGGCGTGAGGTGCGAGCAGGCAGTTCTTGGCGCCCCCGCGCTTGCGCTTGCAGCGGTAGGTCAGGCTCACCGGGCCTCCGGCTCCAGCCGCCGCCTTGGGTTGGGGCCCGGCCGCCGATGCCTGGTAGTAGGCGGCGGCGGCGGCGGCGGCAGCGGCGGCGGCGGCGGCGGCAGCGGCGGCGGCGGCCGCCGGGTGCTTGCTGCACAGCAGGCTCCGAAAATAAGCGGGGTCCGAGTGGAAGGCGACGTAGTTTCCCTGGAGCGGGGCAGTTTCATAGTTTAAAGGGGGTTTGCAAGGCGAGCGAACGATCTCCGGGTAGTGCGAGCCCGGGTATTTGCTAAAAATCTGAGGTAGATGGGCGGCGGGGCGCGCTGCGGCGGCGCCCGGACGCTGGGACTGCGCGCTGATTGGCAGGGGCCGCGCGGCTCCGCTCAGGCCCCGCCAAAGTTGGTGCTTGTCCTTCCAAAAAGCCGGGCGGGGGCTGGCGGCGGCGGCGCGCTCTGGCGGCGGCGCCTTTGTGGCCAGGGCCCGACCGGCCCTCCTGCGCTTGGTCTTGAGCACACGCTCGGTTTTGCAGGAGGTATAGAGCGCTTCCACGTCTTCCCGGGAGATGAGCGTGCATTTGGCCGCGTGGAAGGCGATACTGTTGATTGCTTTGAGTTTCCGCAACTCCTCCAGATCGCAGTGGTGCTTTTTCACTTTCAGATGATCCATGCGCTTGTGCACGGTCGTCCTCGGGATGTTTTTCAGCAGATCTGTGAAGACTTGGGAGAGAGCAAACATTTGCTTTCCTTTAATGATGAGGTAGCCGAGCCTCACGCCATCCACCTCTTCGAAACCTGACTTCAGGTCTCCCATCTCGGGCACTAAATGATCCCCACCATTTGCAGTAAATATATACGTGACGCATACATACACATGTATGTATGTTAATCCTCCGCCAGATGCTGCGTGTGTCTCAAGGCATCCTGCTAATAAAATAACAAAGACTGTTATTCCCGGCGAAGGGAGTGCCAAACTCTAGGCGAATTATTGGGGGGGAGAAAAACCCCATGAAATTACACTGACTTGATTCTTGCTTTTTTTTTGGTTTTCGTTTTTTTAAAAAAGAGGGAAAAAACCATCCGGCTTCAGATCTGCCAGTGTGTTGGTCTGAGTCCTCGATGCGGATCAGTACCTGGGCCCCTCTACTCCTTCCTTCTCCTTTGGAGCACTATGATAATGGAATGTGAAGGGAGAAAGAGAAAAGAAATGCAGCTGCTATTCCCGCCGCTGCTTTAGCTACAAATAAAATGACAGAGTGAAGTGAGCTCGTCCGGAGACACCTTCATCAATTAATTCCCCTAAAGCCAACGCTGATTGGACACTCCTGACAGGTGATGCAATAAAAATTGATATTCCACCCCTTCCCCCCAAAATCTCCTACTAATTAGCATACCCTTATACTGCCACCTCCCCTCCCAAAGTAAATAATACAGCCGGTATATAAATCTTTCCATTAAACTATCGGCGCTCAGAAACAGCCTGACTCACAGACTTCATCAGAAGCAGCGTGTGTACGCTAAAAAAAAAAAAAAAAAAAAAGCCATCGTATATTCCCCTTTAAAGAAATACTGCCTATTTTTTGCTTTATTTGCATTTTACCGATCCAGCTATTATCGTTTCAAAGGAAAGCATTTTAAAAACATTATCAAACCCAAGTAGATGTATACCCCAGCCCTCTTTTCTTTGGAAAATGAAGCTTAAGGGAAAACGTGCCAGAATAGCCTGGTATTTCCCTTATGGGAGTGGGGAAGGAGACAGGCTGGGAGCTCCAAAGTTAAACCGAGAGGTGAACCACCCCAACACAGACTTACGTTTGCAATTTCTCTCGATTTTCCTTCTCCCACCCCAACCCCCACCCCCAACGCCCTTTTACAACCAGAAACAAAGTTATTTGACCAAGAAAGCTGTTCAAGGCTCCAGCTCAGGAACACGTAACAATTCAACTGGATTTCTGTTCTCTGCTGGCGAGTGGGGTAGGGAGGAGGTAGTTTCACGTCAGACCCATAACAAAGCATAGATAAGCCAGAAATGTGTACACTTTTCAGATTAACCAGCCTGGACTAGTGGTGGGGTCGTTCTAGAGCGCCCAGCACACACTTTAGGGTCCTGTCTCCTCAGAGCAGAATTCCAGGGAACAGATTACTTCCTTCTGCAGCAAAGGAAGAAAATGTAAAGCCCCAAGGTGCTCGCAGAAGTTTTACATGAAAGCGAGGAGAAGAAAGTGCTGATGTGCCGTGCGGACCATTTCGGTGGCTGATGGCTTGGCTGGTAGTTTAGATGAATCTTCCACAGCTACCATTTTCCCCATGCAAGCCAGGCATCTGTTTTAACAAAATCACTCTGGATGAATATCAATCTGGTTTAACCTCTTCTTAGTCACTAGCATGACTTACTGTCATTTTTCAAGAATATCCAAAATATTGCCAAGTGAGAGCGAGAGGCTTTCCCCTTGCACTTGCAGGATCTCAGGATGTTTAGTTGGCTGCTGGGCAAAATTCGGCAAAATCTTCATCCGTGTTTGCAACTACAGCATAAATGCAACTCAGGCATCTACATGTTTCCTTCTTCCTCCCAAGACCGACACATCCCTGAGGTTAAAGAATGAACTGATATTTCTGAACCTGTAAGAAAAAAATGCACAATAAATTTCTTTCTTCATATTCAAAAGTTCCACTTTCCTTCCCCTGCTGTGGTCTGGTCAGCAGGAGCAGGTATGAGTCAAGAAAGGGGAAAAAAAGAAAGGAAGAAAAAAAAGAGAAGAAAAGAAAAAAATCTTTAACACCCCCCCCCTCCCAAACCAGGAATCAGACCTATAAAAAGGTAGTTTGCTTGACAAGATGAAATCTCAGCCATGGTTCCCCACCCCCACCCTCATCTCCCTTGTAATTTTCCCAGGAATTTTGAAGAGAATTGGGAATTTCAAGAAGTACATCCGGAAATTAAGGAAGTCTATTTAAGAGCGTCTGTAACTCAGGAGGCTGGGATTTGAGAAGTCAGCCCTGGACTACTGTTGCACTCAGCACAGATGTAATCGCCGCTCTTCAACTTAATCAATGTGTGTACAAACCGCGATGTCTAGTTCTTGCCTTTGAAATCTAAGGCTAGCATTTCCATCCAAGAAATCAGAGCTACAGCAAATTACATTTTTGTCCCTTGAATGAGAGAAGGATCATTGAATGGATCTCGTGATATTTCAGGCTTTAAACGTAACCGAGAGGCAGCAATGAACAATGCCTCGTCACAGCTAATACCATCCACGACTTGGCTTTCTTTTGCATCTGGTTCTATCACACCGAGTTTTTCTCTTTCACTTTCACAGGAGGCAAAATGTGCAAGCTTTAAGCAGAAATCGAAGTTTCCAGGAAAAGCAAATGCTGGTGTTTGTTGTTTTAGAGTGGGATGACCAGAGCCTTTCTACTGCCAAGGACAGTGTTGTAAAATCCCTCCTGAGGCTCTTATATACTGCCAGCCCTCTCCCTCCCGCCTCACCCCCGCCCACTCCCTCCTCCAGCTATAAGATTTAGACCAAAGAGTCAAACAGCCAAGAAATAGTAAACTAAAAATAAAGGGAGGGGGAGGCTTTAAGAAGACCTTACAGAAGGTGGTTATGGTGTCTTTTTTGAAGGGGGAGGGGGCAGGTAGTTTTTTTTTTTAGCTGTTCCTGGTTCTTGTTTAGATCCTCTTCCCCTGCCCCCATGCTCCTATTTCCCCTGCACGTAGGAGCATACTTTAGCAAACATTTCAAATGCTCGTTCCTGTCCTCTCTGTCCATCTTTAAAACACTGGGAATATGGGTGCTTTTGAAAATTAGTTCAATATTGAGTATTATTTTTAAACTAAAGGTATAATCTGTTAGATCAATTAGAAAAAAAGTAAAGAACAAGGGATTTGAGGGATGTATCTCTATGTATACTTAGAAAGTGTCTCTATGTACACAGATACATACCTTTAAATTTATACATTTTAAATACTCCTTTTACACATCTTTCTTTTTGTTTAATACATTCTTTTGTTCCTGTAACTTCCCCATCCTAGTGTGTGTTAAGGCTCCAGAACTGGAGCTTATAACACACACACACACAACACACACACGCAACACACAGAATGTGACAGACAGCTTTCTTGTGGCCATCAGCACACGTTGCATATCCGGGGTCTTCTCCAGGCACATTGGGGGTCGATCCCGATAAAAAGACCTAACAGAGGCCCCTGAGCGCTCACACATGAAAGGCAGGGGACTTTAAGATGGATTTGCATGCACACCGGGGATTTCGATCAATAGCTACCAACATTTATGGCTTAGATTATTAATGCGAAAGCTGGCCAAAAGAATAGGGATGAAAAATTAAAGGTATCTGTTATCAATTATGCTTAAAGTTATGCAATAATTTACTTAGTTTGCCTAGATGTGCAGATCCAGATGTATGAAGTACTATTCTTCAAAAGCCAGGGGGTTTCTTCAATAAATTGGTTGACCATGTCAGCCGCCTCTGCAATCAAAGATGAACCCAATTCAGATGATGGACTATATTCAAATTCTTTTTAAGAAAGGATATATCAACTTCTATAGTTCTCAAACACATGTATATATGTGGGGGAATATGCTTAAATGAACATTTATACACATACATACATATATCTCTGTACGTCTAGGGAATATTTATGAGTTTAGGTGTGTACACACATATATATGTATATATAATATGTATTGAGTTTGTTAATAAAATGTGATCATTTACACAGGGAGGAATACAAAATCTGTACTACCCTAAAAAGTATTTTAGCTTTGAGAACAAAGCTGCTTGCTAAAGAAAAATCCTCTGTAGCAAAACGGTTTCAAATGTATTCTTAATGTCCACTTATTTCTGCATTTATTGTAAGAAAAAAAACCCCCAGCACTTTCAGTCTTTAAAGTGACGGGCTATGAAGACCTGACCATATTTGTCTTCACTTATCCCATAGGACTGTGCTAGGTCCACCTTCAGAGGCTCTATTTTGGTTTATTTTCACTGTATTTTATGTTTAAATACCATAGCAATTCAGCCTGACCTCTTTCCTCTGGAGCGAAGTAATGCACAAGGCATTCACAGTCTTTTAAATGGTTAGCTGGGAAATGCAGCAGCAATGTGCAGGAGTAGTTTACTAATGGGGAAAGTTCTTTTGAAAATCTGAAGGAAAACCTAAGAACACTTTTGCATTTCTAACCAACAACTGTTATATAATGAAAGTATTGAAGGGCATTAAAATAATCCTTTCTCACCCACGCTCTCACCCATACATACATAATTTAAATGAGGATCACACGCACCACCACCACCACCATCACTACTACCACCACCCAACTCTTCACCATGTAGATTTGTTGTCGTGATTGCTGGGCACATTTTGTACAATGTGAATTCAGACAGAGAAGAGTAAGGGACATCACAAAGGTCCCAACAGTGTAAGTGTCGTGGTTAGAAGAATAAAAGAAGTCTCTTATACTGTTAACTAAAATTAACTCAGAATAATATGAGCTATAAAATAATAAAATCTCATCTGACTGGATGAATTGAAGATATAAGACAACACAACCCATACAGTCCTTAGCTAAACTTAACTGATATCACATACCCTCTCCTTCTTGGGAGGTGAAAATGAGAAGAAGAATAATTAGCTAAAATGAGGAATAAACTATGATTTAGGATATTTTCTTTAAACTCTTTTAATTCTTTTTTAAAAAAAGAGCCTCATTCAAATATATCAGGGCCTGTCTACCAATGGACCCATCCTTCTGTTCTCAGACATTTAAAAATCCCGTCTTTAACAGAAGTTTGGGACACAGAGTATATGGTATGTTGTCTATTGACCCATAATCAAAATGCAGTGACCTTCTACCCCTTTTTTGCCCCCTGACCCATCCTGAATTCAATGCAGCCTTTATAAATTTGCAAATCCTTGGAGGTAAAGGGTTTTTTGTGAGGCTTTGTTCTGAGAAAGCCCTAAGAGTGTGCTTTCTAAATTAGACAAAGGTAAAGCTGAAAACCTCAGTGGCTGAGATTTTATGCAGGTGAGCACTAGGCAACTCTTCAGACACGAATACTGCAAGCTAAACAAAACAGTTATAAGCATAGGAGACAAGAAGGTTACAGATTGCATTAAATTAGAGTGTGGTACAAATCACTTCCATGATGTAAGAAATGGTTAGGCCACAATCTTCCCGCTTTTCTCATCTCAAGGGCTGTGGGGGACCCTAGTGACCAAGCAAAGAATGGAGTGGGGGGGGCTACACAGAGAGAAGGGAAGAAAGGTGGGGGAGGAGTAAGACCCGATCTGAATCTGCAGGCACATCCCTTATCTCTCCTGCTATCAGCCAGTTTAAAGGACACCATAATTATGATGGTGATAAAACAATGCCTGCTTATGTGTGCTGAATAAATAAAGAATGTTTACAGCTCAAGAATCTTTTAATTCCAATTAAATGCTATCAAAGAAAAGCCACTTTTTCTACCACAACTGCCTTTCCCCCCAATTATCCTGTTTTGTTGCAATATTTTCCTATGAGACACAAGGGCCTTTCACAATTGATCCTGAACATAGAGGACAAACTCACAGAAAGTCGAGTTCAATCTTCTATTAAATAACACACAAATCTCATGAATGAACATTTATTGGGGTTACCCAAGTTTTTGTTTATTTTACACGAATAGGCCAAATGTGCAGAAAGTGAAGTGATGTTACCAAGTGTGGAGGCCTACCTAAGGGCAGCTGAAGCACCCAGGAGAGAAGGAAGGGAAGGGAAGGCAGGAGCAGTGGGATGGTCTGGTTCCTTTCCCCTGGCTCCAGCCCAAATCCTCCGAGAAACACTGGAGCCAATCACTGTCTTCCACTTTCAGCTACTGGGAACACACAAAAAAGCGGGAGATTAAAAAAAAAATCACAAGTTTGATTTGTATGGATATGTATCATTTCATATTCATGACATCAGCAAATCACATCGTGATTAGATTTAAACATGGTTTGACCATGCACACCCATCAGGATGGCCACTAAACACTACAAAGCAGAAAATTTGCTTTTTATTTGTGATTATAGAGTAAAAATCAAGTCTGTTAACTTAGAAAAGCTTACTTTTCAAAATCTGAGAACAATTTACACTAGTAAATTTCACATAGATGCTTCTTCTAAAGTTGTTTCACAACATTTTCATTCAAATTTTTGTCTCCTTCCTTTCTGTGTGGTAGTGTTTTGTTTGTTTTTGAAAACACGTGGCACAGGACATATTATGGAAAATGCAGGCATTCTGTTAAATGCCTATACAAACTTGCTCTTTACTTCATCTAAGTAACGCTTTGCTGAGCAGACGCCGAACAACAACAATAAAAATACACTTTTCTCTAAGAAATACTTTTTTTTTTTAAAAAAAAATTAATTTCAGAGCAAATCGTATTTGGTGAGGTGGTACAAAAATCAATCGCAAAAAACTTCAGGGTATTTTTAAGTTTTCTGGAGAGTCGCAGGCCCCTTCCCTTTTGAAAGTTTAGAGATCCAATACCCTCAATTCTACTGGCAGAATTAGGTGGACTTAGAGGGTCCTAAACGTGACCGATTCACTAAGGCGGGGGGCTCCAGCATGCGGCAACGTGCTCTGCGACTTAATCCTACGCTAAAAGAGGGCAGAGAGCGAAAAAGAATGGAATACAAACTCTCCCGACGTTCCTAGTTACTTTCAAGGTGGATTGTGTATTTTAAGGCCGATGGGAGCTTCTGGTTTTTGGAGGAAAAAGAAGAGAAGGTAAGTGTTTGTCCTTGTATCCACCAGTTGGTAGAGAAACAATGAAAGAACAAAGGGAACCACTTCCTCATCTGAAAATTTTCTGGTTCTCCCTGGTTTTCAAGCCTAAAGCTTGCACAGGGATTCGCTTACTCTATCTTTAAAGTAGTAGGTTGAACTAAGAATGAGAGAAAAGTTGAGAGACAGTGTAAATAGGCTTAATAATAATAAAGGCTTGCGGTGGCGAATCTGCACTGCTCCTGGCGCGGCAACTTGCAGAAGTTGGAAAAAGCAGGAAGGCACAGCCCAGGAAATAACCTTTGCATACTAGGTCTCGAACTCAATTTTTTTTTTTTAACAGCCTTTCTTGTTGTTTGAAGGAATCTCTGCGCACAAACTGTGTAGTAGATACTGTTTTATGGGAAGAGAGTGGTGTTCGATTTAGGTCTAAAGTTGATTTCTATCACTGTCCTAAAAAAGAATATTTTTAAAAGAATTGAGGATTCAATTATTAACGCTACTGCTTGCTAATGGAAGAAATGGCAGCGATGGTTGAGGGAGGAGAGGGATGGTATTTAAATATATTTGCTTTGGGGGTACTCTGGTTATTGGCAAGTCTGCTTTTGTGGATCTGTGTGACTAAGTGACTGGGCGCTGTCTGCATTCTATATAAATGAATCCGCGTGTGGGGGAAGCCCCCAAAGACGTCGAGCACGTGAAACATGATTTTTTTTTACTGCCCCCCAAGCAGCGACCAAGCCCCCATCCACCCCACCCCACCTCAAAATGCGTATATTACCTGCCCTGTTACAGTGACACATGTTTATGTTTATAGTCCTGGTTTGTAGTAGTGTCAAGAGCCGCGGCGAGGCGGGGGGGGGGGGGGGGGGGGGGGGGGGGGGGGGGAGAGGCGAGAGGGAGGAGTAAATGCAACCACCCCCACTTGTTGTTAAAGCAAATTTACTGCGTTCTTGCCAGCCCCGTGCGGGGGGCTGGGATGAGTAGAGGGGAAGGGGAGAGTTGGGCTGTGTGCTGGCAGGGGAGGGGGTGGGGTGTGCTGAGAGCCGCCACGCAGCTCCTCTCTTTCCAGCAGCCCGGTCAATAGGGGAGCATGCTGGCGCGGTGGAAAACAAAAAGGTTCCTCCCGCTCGCTGCGTTCACGTGGGGGAGCTCTGCGCGCCGGGCTCCTGGGCCCTGACCTCTGACCCCGGCTCCTCTTGGCTCTCCCGGTGTGGCTCGGCCACTTTTTACCCAGGATGCCATGCGCGGGCCGCGCTCGTGTCGAGCCCGAGTCCTTGCTCAGCCTCCATTCCCGGCCTGGCGGCCCCTCCCCCTGCACCGCCAGCCCCGCGGGAGGATTCTCCACCGGGGAACCCCCGCCCCGCCCCCACCCGGTCCCCAGCAGAGGAGCCGGCAGCCAGGCCGTGCGGGCGGGGTGCTCGGCGCTGCGGGGCCGCGGGGGAGGCGAGAGGAGGCCGGGCTCGCGGCCCTGCCGAGGCCCGGACCTGTTGACTGCCATTGGTCCGCTCCTTCCGCGCCCTCTCTGCCCGTGCCGCCCCAGCCCTTCCGCAGAATCCGGGGGAGGAAACGGGGTGGCTCCTCTCCCCGCCTCCCTTCAACTTTTTTTCCTCTCGGGGGGTGGGGAGGACGGGAGGGTGAGGCCGATCTGCAAACTCCTCGGCTGCCCCAGCCTTCCTCGGAAAGTATCGTCACGAGCGGGCCCGCCGCCCCCTTCGGCCCCCGCTATTTAAGTCCTTCGCCCCTGGCGGCCGACTCGCGGCCGAGAGCCCGCGGGCCCCGCGTCCCCAGCCGGTCGTCCCGCGTCCCTCCGGCCGGGCTGCTTTCTGCCTTGATAGCTCCCTCGTCCTGGCACTTTCTCCCTAGTCCCAGGAGGCGTAAGAGAAAACCTCTGATTTGCCGCGTGCTGCTGGGCACATCCTCTTCAGAAGGCATTCGCTGGAGAGTTTAAAACAACTATATTGGAAGGAGGAAATAAAAGAGGAAAGTGTTCTCTTGCAGGGTTTTTTTTTTTTTTTTAAAGACTACGTGCTTCAAATTATATTTTTCCTTAACACGGGAGAGTGTAGTTACGGTTAAAAAAAGATTATGTTGGATTGCCTGTATTTCCTTCTAGATTTTTGATTTCTGAAGGAAATCTTTTTCCGGAGGAAATTTTTTTTCCCGGAAGGAAACAGCAACTCAGCCTTACGCTGGCAATGAGACTTCAAGACCACTTCTGGAAAGCAAGGGAGAGTTAGTAAAAATACGTTTAGAATATAGGAGGTAGGAGGCCACGGCTACAGCTAGGGTCACCAAAGGAAGCACCTCATGTGGCATGGGGGGGAAGGGCCGGGCTTTGGAGGTGGCCAGGGTCGGGAGGCCAGAGCGGGGCTGGCGAGCGGGAAAACCCGGGGAGTGAGGTGGAGGAAGCGGGACCCGCCGGGCTCCAAGGTGCTCCCATTGTTCGGGTCCCAGCGCCGAAGCTCAGGGACGTGTTTTTCCCGGGGGAGGGGGATCTGTGACTCGTCTGCTCCAGCCTGCGGCCCGCGGGAGTCCACAAGGCTCGCCCCTTGCTCGCCCGGCCCGTTTTACAGCGGTCCCCCTGTTAGGGGCTTTCCCAGCCGTGCACCTCATTGAAAGGTTCTTTCACAGCGTGCAGTAAACGGAAAGACTTCAGGCGAGGCTGCAGCTCAGATGTTACAAGCGAAAGCTGCATAGATATGTTTATAAAGTCATCACTAGATAAGCGACAAAGTGGGCCACCTTCCTGAGTGGGAAATTTGAGCAGATTATATAATATTTAAAATTTCTTTAAATGTATGGATTCGAAAATGAGTGTTAAGGTTCAAAGGAGTTTGGAAAAGCACGTTTTGTTTTTTTTTTTTTTAGTCCTCATTTGTTACTACTCAGCTCTTTGTTGTGTACAAGAAGTCTGGTTTTAAAAGGAAGGGCTTTAACAAAAAGGGGCTTGGTTTATTAAGGTGAAACGCGTTTCCAAAATAACAGGGAATTTCAAAAGGGAAAAACGTTCATTATGGCTTTAAACTACGTTTTGGAAACAAAATAAATTGCAACCTATCCTAAGAAACTGTTTTCCTTTGTGAGTCGTGGGAAAAATATTTTTGGCAAACGTCAGTTTTTTTTTTTTTTTAAAATGAAGATTTCCAACAAGTGATGCTGGTTTTGTAGACAAGACCAAAGTCCTGTGTGAGGACTCGCGAAGAAATAATTTCAGTCTTGTGGCCCAAAGCTTACTACGAAAAAAAAATAATTTGGATTTAGGAATTATAATAGACTTTGTGGAAATTCCTTCTAAAATACTCATTACGAGTCTGTATTATGCAGCACTGTTTCCCAAGGTGGATTTAAAAAAAAACCAATTAGAATTGATCTCTAATGGAATATTATATTTACACGTCATCATGAAAACATCATTTGGCAAAAGTTTTGAATTAGAAAATGAAGTTAACATGATGTCGTAAATAGCATGTTTGAAAAGACCCCTTAAGAGTCAGTTAAGGTGGTGAAGGTTGTGATTTTTGCATTTGAAATGCTATTGAAGTAGTTTGCATTTGAACACTTTCATTTTGCAGGTCTTCTTTCTAAAGCTGCATTTCCTCCTGGAAATCAGTCACTTACTTGGAGGCACAGAGACACATTTTGTGAGGGGTCATTTACAGCCTAACTACGGGAAGGTTGGAATCGGAGAAAATCGAGGTTGAAAATTAAGTATTTTCAATATGTTCATTCTGCTTCACACTCATCCCCTGCTCAATTTACATTTTTTATTTATAAGCCTTTGAATATTTAGGATAGCTTTGCAAGTTTATCTGTAATGTAGTTGATAGCGGAAGATGAATCTTCTTTACATTTTTTACTATCTCAGATGTTTTTTGTTTCAAAGTAAAAGAAAAAATTAGAAGTCAGGATATACTTGTGAGAAAAACAACAAATGGGCAGGAAAAGAAAGTCAGAGTGGGGTGGGGGAAGGGAGTAGCATTTCTGGTCAGTCTTTGTGAAACCTTCCTCTAATATTCTAGCTGCCCCTCTGCTTGTGCCAAAGAAGATTGCTGTTTTAATTGGGCTAAAGTACCACCATATAAAAATTACCTACATTCTGGCTCTCAGTTCCTCAGTAAAGACTGACAAAATGATCTGAGGCTTGTGTGTTTAATTCGCCAGGAATGTTAAGCTTCAGAAGATTCACCCTATGGGGTCATGTTGGTCCTTGGCACTGTTACTGTACAATGGCAAATATACACATTATACATTTAAAAAATCTTAGATAGCTAGACAAACAGTTTATTAATTGAAGGAATAAAAATGAATTTGTCAAACGTATTCTTTCTGGGACACAATGCACTTAATTAACATATTCGTGGGCTTGTTTCTGGATTTGGGAAGCAGTGGCCCCTTTCACAGAGGAAAACATTTAAATTTTAAAAAGTGACCTTCTTTAGTCCAAATACTATTTAGCAATTCAGCTTAATTTGTTCTTTTCTTCTCTTTCATTTCTTTTTTCAGTTCCAGATATGTTTCTTTTTTTTTAAAGGACTCTTCCATTTCCAAAACTGATTTTCCTCTTTGCATGTTGAGAATCTTTCACTTAAGATAATCTTATTGTGTCCTATCAACAGACAGCAGAATATGTCGCTTTAATTACACTTTAATTATAACAGAGATGGAAATCTTCAGTGTCAGTAAAAACTGGAAAATGGGTCCCACATTATATTGATGACACCCTAAAAAGTCAGTGTTAAGCATTGTTGATCACAGGAAAAAGCACCACTGTTTAGGTTTATGTAACACCCACACGTTTTAAAGGCTGTCTAGTGATACTGCTTTGCTATTGGAAAAGAGTTGTGTTTCATCCTCTAAAATGTAAAGATGTAAGTGTATTACTTTCTTACTAGTATCAATTTTATAGGGAAAGGAACAGCTCTGAAGCAAACGCAAGGTGAAGTAAAGCAAACTCTTTGAGAAAATACTAGCTCTTGGTCTTTAGAAATATTTTAAATTTAGATAAAATTTAAAACTGAG